TTCACTTTGAAGCGTTCCTGGTTCTGATTGCAAGTTGCCTAAACCCTAAACCCTAAACCCATTTTTTGTTGCCTGCTATTTTGTTTGCCTCAAGCTAAAGACCCCAACCCTAAGAACAAATCACAGTCAGGGTTCTACAATCGCAAAGCTTGCTGTCATATTTGCTCCGCGCTTCAGTGGGCAAACCGACAAGAAGACCTGCAATACCTCTTCACAATCTTTGGACCTGGGTCTAGGAACCGCGAGAACATCTTGCGAACACGTGCAGCCTTTGTTGCAATCCACGGAGCGTCTCCCTTGACATTTGTGCCCTCATTCGCCCCATGTAGAGCCTCCTTCTAGATTAGCAACAACATTTTTTATTTCCGGAAGCCATCCTACTTAGTCGATATGATACTCTTGACGCCTCATTAGTGCATTATCTGCGCAGGACTACTGCCCGACTACATGCATGTGGTCCATCTGGCCGTGGCTGTAGATTTGATCACTGGAATGTTACAAGAAGTCTCAGACAACAATACAGCTGTCCATGGAAGATCACGAGAGGAGCGATTGAACGTTGTGTACCAGCAGTACAAAACATGGGCAAACGACGCTCGCGTCGAGGACCGCGCAGGCAAGCGGCTCTTCTCCACTGGAATTCTTACGAACAGCAAAGTTGTTGAAGTTTCCCAGAAAGTGCTCAGTGCTGTAAACCCGCAGGGATCTCGCTGCTGCGTGCGCCGCGCTGTCTGATATGGAGATCCTCATGCTGAGATCAGGGCCTTTTGGCAATGATTCATCATTACTGTAGGTCTTAGCGTCCTAGCTGTGTAACTCCTTAACCCTTACAGCCGTGAGCCCTACCAACCTCAGACCCTATCAACCTTCAAGCCTGTAAACCCTCAACATAGAAACCCGCAGGCCCGAAAGTCCAATTTTCTATACGCCCAAACCCTTTGGTTGAAATCCAAGCCTGAAGCCTCCGTCAATCCAACACGCGCAAAACTGTACTTTAGCGAAGCCTTGTGTAACAGAAAATCCATTCAGGAGATATTTTGATGAGCTGACGGCGGGTGCTTTTGAGCATGCCTGCATGGTTTTCCGGTACGCTTTCAATGAGCTTGCGCAATCAGCCATAAGTCGTGGACTTCCCCGCTATCACATGAGGCCTAAGGTCCATGTTTTAGAACACATAGCTGTGGAGTTCAAATACAAAAATCCCCGTTACTTCTCTAACTAGCGCCTCAAACTCCCCAGCACGGGATATGTCCCATCATGTTATGTACAGATATTGTGTACAGATGTGCTGGATGTTACGAGAATAGGGGAAAGAAGGAGGCTGCGTGCAGCCGAGAAGCAGTGCTGGCATGTCCACCGTGTAGATCGCCGGAGTTTGTTTGAATGGTCAGGTTTCAGCCCCACATATACAACACCTCCAACAAGGATTTTTCCAACATCGGAAGCTCCTATATGAGTAGGCAGCATCCAAAAGACAGCCATCTCTAAGATGTGGTATGGCACAGACAGGCGCCTGCAGGGATGAAATCCATTAACCAAGAAACCCAGAATCAACCGCGAGGCCTGAACTAAACTATGGCACCGTCAAATGAAATAATCCCCGGAGAAGCCCCCAATTGGATGGGCCCCGTATACCCCGAATATGATGTTGTTTGGTTTGGGGCTCCTTTATCAACCATAGACCCGAAACCCTAAAATCCAAACCCTATAAATTAAACAGCTGAACACGCAAGCTTGCGAAGGTTCTTGGGTGTGTTAACTTTTTCAGGTTATAAGGGTATCTGGTAGTTTCGCAAAATAGGGGGGGGACCCAATGTAGACCCAAAAATACTATAGTCCTTAGTATAGGGACCTCCAGAATAGTACCCCTAATTTGGGGAAACCCCATATGAGGCTTATAAGGGTTATAGGTTATATAGGTTCACACCATTTTTGCAAGTCAGGGGTACCCCCTGAAGCCCAGACCCTTAAACCCTCTACCCTAATTTAGTTTAGGAGTTAAAGTTCTTTTCTTTTTTTGGCGACTGGCTCCAAGTATTAGTTTTTTTCTTTTTTTCTTGGCTCAAGCACCTTGCTAGTGTACAGATGCAGCATGCAGGGCTGCGCAGGGCCCAACCATCCCTCTGCCACCGGCCTTATAATTACCATCGGCCTTATACAGTGACCGGCTCTATATATAAGGTTGTTAGACCCTTGCTGGTAGGGACACCACTCCCTTGGGGAACATGGACAAAAAGCCCCGGGGAGTCCTTGCCAAGCTAGCTGTCTAGCAACTTGCCACTACTGTGGCGTGTTTGCTGTTTCACGAAAGTCTGGGGTTTGTAATTTTTTGTGAGCATGTACATGAGGATTTCAGTCATGATGTTTGTGGTGCTTATGAGTTGGATGATGGCTGTTGTCATGATGATGCAATGTCACTTGTGAGCAAGGGAAGCAATGTGCTTGAGCCAGTGTTGTGTCCGAACAGCAGGGTGCCTTTGACTTCTTCAATGCCTACCTCGGGCTCTAGCCGCGATTTCAGTGACTTGGACGTGCTCCGACCCTCTCCTTCGGCACTCCCTTCGCAGCCTCTACTTGATCATGTCGTACACCCGCAAGAGCCTGATCACCAAGCTCAACGAGCACGGCGAGGAGCCTTCAGCGGAGTGGACGGTGCTTCAATTGAGGACTCGATTGACCGAGTGCCTCGATGCGGTGAAGTCGGGGGAGGTCAAGACTCTGAATGGCGAGCTCGAGCGCCTCAATCGGGCGGCCAAGAAGAAGCAAGCACTGATCGACTTCTTGAAGGAGTACATCGACAACGTCCCGGAGAAGAAGACCATCCCCCAGCTTGTGGCCTTGGGAACAGAAGTGGTGACCACCAAGTTCCCGCCGCACGGCTCCGAGAAAGTGGCCTTCGGCAAGATCGGGAACCTCACGTTCCTGGAGCTGTATCAGAACCACCCAAGCTACTGCTCGTGGATTGTCACGACCAGTCGCGAGGAAGACAGTCCGCACTGGCGGCTCATGAGGCTGGCCGGGTGGCTCCAGGACATGCAGAATGCGAAGTTCGAGGTTTCGAGTCCCGAGCTGGTCGAGGAGAAGTTGGAGAAGCTGGGAGCCGATCCCAGAGATGTGAAGCTTGGAGCTCCTCCATCCCGTCCGGCACCGGAGAGCCAGACACGGAAGTCAGCAGCCACGGCATCCTCCAGCAACCTGAAGGACAATGTGGTCCCGACCGAGCGCGACCAGCTGGAGATGGCGATGACGAAGATCCGCGAGCTCGAGGCGGCGAAGGAGCGACTCGAGATGGAGGCGAAGGAGAGAGATCCTCGAGGGTTGAAGAACCGCCGGGAGATGTAGAGATCATGCTGATGGAGGACGAGTGTCTTGAATGTAGCAAGCTTCAGTCATGCCACTCAGGGCACAAGTTCTTATCTCACCAATGGAGGGAAGATAGGAATCCGTATAGTGAGTCCTTTCAAGCTTTAGTAGGCGCCCAGAGGACATTCTTGATTGAGGTTGCATGTTCAAAAGACAGCCTCCTGTCAGCAGAAGTGCAGAAGCGTCTTGGACCAGATGCCGCCATCAGATGTTCCCACGAAAACGGTTATGACCTTACCAGTAGAGATGGGGTTAGGAGATTGTGTAGTTTGGTTGCCTCACAACGCCCTCTCCATGTTTGGATTTCGTGTGAATGTGGTCCCTATTCCCCTTTCCAACGTATCAATCAGAGGACCCCTGAACAGTGCAATCGTCTTGAGGAAAAGCGTAGGCAGGCCAGACAACAATACGATGGTGGCATTCAGGTTGCGAAGTTTGCGAAGCTTTGCGGTGCCCATGTTCATTTTGAACTGTCAGAGCGCTGTGAAGCGTGGAAGCTGCCCTCCATAGAGAAGTTCGTAAAGGACCTTTCCCTCAAAAGAGTTACCTGTAATGGTTGTACGGTTGGCCTTAGGGTAGGTGATAATCAACAGTTGAGCTGTAAGGGTTGGAACGTTGCTACATCAAGTGACTCTATGGTGCAGCATCTACATCTTCCGTGCCAGCGAAATCACCGGACAGCTTCGTTGGAAGGAGGGAATAAAGCTCACTCCACCGCCTCCTACACCCCTGTGTTTGTCAAGAAGGTTGTTGAAGCTATGAATCGACAGGAGCCTTGGAGTTTAATTGCCCAGGAACTTTCATCTGTTCCCGAACCCCAAGCAGATAAAGTACCTCCTTCCAATGACGGTGACATTTTTGCCGGCGAGAATGCCATGCCTGAAGCCGAGAAGCAGAGGATTTTGAAGCTTATCAAGCACATCCACAGCGTCTCCGGGCATGGTAGCGTGCACACCCTCGTGCAAGCTTTGGCAAAGCGCGGCGTCCCTGAACATGTCCTGAAGATAGCTAGGCAGTTTAAGTGTCCCATTTGTGAAGAACGGGTTCGCACTGCTCCTCGTAGGCCTGCTACCCTGATGACTATCCCCAAGAAATGGCAAGTGTTGCAGACTGACGTAGGTACCTGGACCCATCCTTATACCCGGTTGAAGTATAAGTTTGTTCTGTTCATAGATGAGGGGTGTCGTTTCCGCACAGGTAGTATCCTTTTTCAGGACCAGAACCGTCAAGCATCTTGGGAAGTTATTCGGAAAAGTATGGAGGAGCATTGGCTAGCTCACTTTGGACAGCCGGACATGATCCGGGTAGACGCCGATGGTGCTTGGCGCAACGAAGAAGCAGATCGATACTGTAACAGCCGTGGCATACAGTTAGACTTTGTTCCTGCAGAGGCTCATTGGCAGATAGGGATAGTGGAGTCTGCTATTAAGAGCACCAAGGCCGTTATGCAAGCTTTGTGCGAGGAATTCAAGGACATGTCCATTGAGGAGTGTTTTGCTAGGGCTTTGTGGGCTTGCAACTCTCGTGACAATCCTTGCGGATACTCTCCCTTGCAACATGCGACAGGTAGGGCTCCGGATGAGTGGGGTAGATTATTTGATTCCAAGGTTTCAGGGTTCCCCATTCACTCTCAAGAAATGATTGATGCCGGGTTTGGTGCTAACATAAAGGCGATGTCGCTGGCAGAACAAGCCTTCCTCAAGGACCAAGCTCAGCAGAGACTTGCCCGCGCGGAAGCCGCGGGGAAACGGCCACTTGTCCCAGGGGATTTAGTCTTCTATTGGCGGAGACAAGTTGCCGGTAGAGAAAAGGAACGTGGTTTTACCATAGGTAGCTTTGTGGGTCCTGCTCGGGTGTTAGCGGTTGAAACAAGAGTTGACGACGAAGGGCGATTACGGCCGGGGAGCTGTGTATGGCTGCATAGGGCTGGTCGACTCATCAAAGCAGCCCCAGAGCAGCTACGAGCTGCCACAGACCGGGAGCGGGCTATCGAGGAGCTGAAGGGCCCAGTTGAGATTCCTTGGACCATCACCTCCCTAGCCTCTCACCCCCACAAGAAGACCTATGATGATATCACCTCCGAGATCCCCGATGACATGCAATGGGATGAAGCAGCTCAGCAGCCTGTTCTCAGTCATCGTATTCGTGGAAAGAAGCGCCCACATGAACAACCCCCTGAAGGAAGGCCTCCGGAACCTAGAGGTAGTGATGAAGCTATGAAAGCTGTTGTTGAGGGTTCCCCCAAAAGGTCTGGTGTTTCGGATGTGTGTTTCGAAATTGAGATTGAGTTTCCGGAGTCTAAGAGGGGGATCAAGAAGTTTCTCCAAAACCCTGAAGCGTTTGTTGTGTCCCAACTTAAGCGGAAGCAAGTGGAAGTTCATGAGCGCAATCTTTCCCCACAGGAACGAGCTCAATTCAGGGAGGCTAAGATGAAAGAGGTTCGTAGTTTCATTAGCGCACAGTGTTTTGAGTTAGTTCCGAAGCATTTGCAGCCTGACCCCGCTTCGGGGGTAGGAATGCGCTGGGTGCTTACTTGGAAGGAGGCTGGTGACTCGTCAGACCCCAAACGTAGGAAGGCCAAAGCTAGAGCTGCGGTTCTAGGGTATCAGGACGACCAGTATGAGTACCGTCAGACTTCATCACCCACAGTTTCCAGAACGGGGCGTCAAGCCTTTCTTCAGCTTTGCGCCTGGCGGAAGTTTGGCATCACTAAGGGTGACGTGTCAGCCGCATTCTTGCAAGGAGAGCTTTTGGAAGATGATTACTGGATTCGCCCAGTACCGGAAATCTATGAGGAGTTGAAGGTTGAGCCTGGAGAACTTCTCAAGCTCAAACGTGCAGCATATGGACTGGTCCAAGCTCCCCTTCATTGGTACAAATCAGTTTGTTCGTATTTGCAGGGTTTAGGCTACACCCGTATGAAAGGGGATCCGTGTGTTTGGGTGTACCATGACAGTAGTGGGGTGTTGAGGTCTTGCATTTGTGCTCATGTTGATGATTTCCTTTTTGGGGGAGCCCCTGGGGACAAAGTTCATGACCACCTCATGGAACAGATTAAGCAACATTTCTCATGGGGCAGCTGGGAATCATCTTCCTTTACCCAGTGTGGTGTTACGGTGACCCAGCACAGTGACTTCAGCATCACACTGGACCAGCAGGAGTTTGTGTCTGACCTGCAAGAAATCAAGCTGAGCCGGGACCGGTCCCGACAAGTTACTGCGGAGACTAGTGACTACGAAAAGCATCAGCTTAGGGCGGTCTTAGGGGCTCTTAGTTGGTTCACGGGTCAGACGGGATTCCAGTTTTCGTCGGATGTAGGGATTTTACTGTCCAGTGTTTCTACAAGTCAAGTGGAGACAATCCTTCGCACTAATAAACTCATCAGGGACGTCAAGGACAATCCCGGCGAACTCAGGATCCATGCTTTTCCGGATGCCAAAAGACTAGAGCTAGTTTGTTGGGCCGATGCGGCATGGGCCAATCGACCCGATGGCAAGTCTAGTACAGAGGGCATCGTGATCGGTTTCTCCAGCCCCGCACTTCTCGAGGGCAAGATTGCTCCAGTCTCTTTGATGTACTGGAGGTCCGGCAAGATTGACCGCACATGTCGTTCTCCGGCTTGCGCAGAGACAAAAGGAGTGGTCAATGGGGAAGACGACCTCTACCACTTGCGGTATCTTTGGTCAGAAATGCTTTTGCCTAAGGAGCGATTAGTTGGGTGTCATCCTGATACTGTTGTTGTTAATGCTTCGGGTACCCTGGTTACTGATAGTAAGAACTTATGGGATAAGCTCAGCAAGGAGATTTTCGTAATCAAAGGTGCTGAGAAGCGTTCAGATTTGGAGGCCCTGTCGTTGAAAGAGTCCCAAGACAATTCACAACTACAGTTGCGATGGGTACACTCAGATGCTATGCTTGCTAATTCCTTGACAAAGCCGTCAGAGAAATGGCAGATTCTCCTCTTCCAGAAGATGAAGTATCATTGGCGCATTGTTCATGATAGCAACATGGTTTCCGCCAGAAAGAGGAAGGCCGAGGGCATTGATCCCATGCACAGCGAGGTCAAGGGATGATGTAGGATGATGTGATTGCGATGGCGTTGATGCACCATAGTGGGTATATCCTCATGTAGATGCCTTTAATTTTCTTATATATGGCAATGCAACTTCAGGTGATCGTTGGACAATCGTCCGCGCAGCCATTGCTACTCCTTGGGGACTCTGAGTAGTAAAAGTGTCGGTGTATGCACTAGTGCTAGCTCCGATTGTGTTCTTCAGCTCTCTGAGCTTTCAAGGGTTGAGGGTTTAAGGCGTCGGACCCTGAAAGAGGTCCCTTTTTGGAGGTTTCCATGATAAAAAAGGACTACAGTGACTACAGGATTTGGAGGGTATATGAGAAGAAGGAAGGACACTCAGGGACCCCAATTTTAGAAAACACCGACATCCGCAAGCCGATTGTTCATAAGGCTTAGGTTTTAGGTCTCAGCAGCCCAAGGCCGTTTCAAGTGAGTAGTTACCAGGAAGCCCCGAGGGCAGGGATTACCCTAAGCCCTAAAACCCATTTCAAACCCTAAGCCCTCAACTGTACTGAGGCCCTCTGAGTGACTCAGTGGAGACACCGATGAAGGTTCAGCACAATAGTACCCTAGACCTTCCTTGGGTTTCAGGTTTGGGGTTTGTACTTGCAGGTGAGGAGGACTTGCTAAGTAGATTTATGGCAGAGATATCTGATGATGATAATTGGGGTTGCGACATGGCTTACAAGGATTTTAAGTCATAAGTATACTTGCTGAATCCCACCAAGTAGGGAATTCCGGAGTGGAACATAGAGATCATTAGTGGCAGTATGTAGACAGAGATACGCATACCGAAGCACCAAGCCCACCACCGCCAGCCTCCGAGTACAAGTGCCCCTGGAGCAAAGAAGTAAGACTGCTGAAGTTCTTGGGATCTTGCCCAACAGTACTACGTGAGTATAAGGACCTCCCACAGAGCAGACAACAATTGTCATAGAATCTGCACTTCAAATCTTCCACCCTGAAGCAAGGCCCTCGTGGGAGCGTAGGGAGGTGGCCTGTTGAATGAAGGCCCTGGGCATTTCCTCAGAAGACTGCAAGGGGGCTCCTCCTCCGTTCTTTTTCGACATCAAGGTATTAAGGTGGGAGATACAAGTGCTGAAGCCCGGGTAAAAGTTTGATGGTCGAGGGAATTCTGAGTCTGGCACGTGCTTTGGGAATTGAGGTGTCGGCCTAGTTCATCATCGGGAATGAAAGACTGATGTGGCGGAGCAATGCCATCTTCACTGTAAAAACTAATCTTGATTCAACAAAAACACGGGCGTAGAATCCCTCCAGCTGCTTGACTGTGCCTTGCTACCCACAGACTCAGCAAGTAAGCATAGCAGCAGTAAAAGGTCATAACCTTGCGCGAAAAGCTGCACGTTAAAGACTGACGGCAGGGTCCCCCTTGCAGCCTTCCAGCATCGGGTGAAACAGAAACGGCAATGTCTCGAAACAAGGGAGCCCTTGCACATACTTTGAGGGTTTAAGGTTGAGGGTTATTCCAAGTCTCAGGGGACCCAAAATTTGGAGACACCTCCAGAGACATGGCAGTTTCCCTTAGCAGGGGGCCCCCATACACGCTCCAAAATACTACCATCCCTATTTTAGGACCCTCAAAAAAGGTACCCCGCATTCAGTTTGGGAAACGACCATATTGCTTATTGTGTATTGAACAGGAAACCAGCCAGCCAAAGTACCCCCTTAAGTCTCTGAAGCTAAATCCCTGCCCTGTTTATGGTTTAGGGATGTAGGGTTTAGGGTTAAATCTTGAACCCTTAAAGAGTGTCTAGGGGGTCTAAGTGAAGCCAAAACCGCCAGCAAACATGCAGACACAAAGACGCACTGCTGAGAATTTGTCCTTTTTGCAGGGTAACCTGGAATTGGCATCATATGAGCTATACTCTAAACTCCAAGTATCCCCCTTAATAAGCCCTAAAAGAGTCCTCTATATGATCCCCTATATATCCCCCCTTAGGGAGTTTAGATTCTGGCATCATATGGCGCAAGGTGATCAAAAGGTGAGGCATCATACTCCAACCTCCCTCTGCGCCCTTCAAGTGGATCTTTGCTAAAGCTCTACATTCCAAATTAGGGGGGAGAGTATATAGGGGATATATTGGGATAATGGAAAGAACATGGAAACTACTATGTAGGATTAACACGGAAATCCAGGTAAGCCCACTCCAATCCAAGGACAGTAGTCTTGTAGTGCTCCTTTTGAGCTTCCATATCATTTTTTGGGATGGTGCTAGCATGAATGCCTACCTCCACAATGCCAGCATTGCTCAAAAAGACAGCCTTGTGATCCTCGAGGGGGACCCCTATAACTTCTTCGCTATAGTAGCTAATTGTACGCCACGCCTATTGCCGCACATCCTGAGAGCACTACCTATCCTACATTGGAATTTCTACGTCCTAATTAGCCTGTAGGCCCTAAACAATCTTGCAGCCTCAAACCGCTACCTTTCAGAAATTAGATTCCGCAACGCAGTTGCAAAAACATTATAATTCCGTTTTCAGCATGCACAGATCTGTTGCGCAAACACCCAAAATATTGGCGGCCGAAAGCTAGACTTCATTTTCGCGCCCGGTCAAAGCTGCCGCGATGCACCTCGTAGACAAGGTGCATGCCTTGGCCCAGTTCTGGGAAATTCCCTCCATGTAGGGTTTGGGACCCAGGGATTGGATAGAGGCTATATAGGGTTTGGGGTTTAGGGTTCAGGGCACTCGGAATTTCAGGGCTTGGGCTGTCACAAAATGGGGGGGGGGATACTTTGGGGATCCTGACAGTATCGATCATAGTATTTGGGGATCTATTGTTGGTCCCCATCTATGGCAACTACCGTTTAGGTTTAAGGCAGGATCTGTCTAGAATACCTCAATACCTCAATACTGAACCCCACGTAGTAACAAAGGTTTCCCCAACACGTGCCGGTACCATCGGCAACACTCATTATTGGCATGGTCGGGTGTCAGGGGGAAGAGGTTACTTGGAGGGTCGGGAGGACTTAGTAAGTATACTTACGACACCTAATGCCATACAGCAACCCCAGCTATCCCTGTTCTTAACCTACTAGCCCTAAACGCTAAACCCCAAACTAAATCCCCTGACCCTCTTTGTAGTAATCCTGGCTCAACTCTTAGCACAAGGCAGAAGGAAACATCGTTGATCTGGGTTTAGGGGTTAGGGTTTACGGATGAATTACAGTCAATGGTTCCTTATTCTACAAGGAGGAGGACCCTATGTCCACGATTCAGGGTTCCTGTTTAAGGTGAATGTGGGAGTTTCCCAGAATTGGGGGTACCTTTGTTGGGGGTTCCCCTAATAAGGATTATAGTATATTGGGGTCTATATTGGGGTTCTCCTATTTTGGGAAACTACCATGTTGCTAGTAGCTCATGTAGAATTTTCAGCTGGGTTTGGAATATTCGCTTGCATTGAAGCATCGGATGTCTGCCGTCCTACATGGTGAACTTAGGACAGCACAGTGTGATGTGATACCAGGGGTTTAGGGGACTAGGGCTTAGGATTTAGAGGGATACTGAAGGAAGTACAATACCAACGCATAGGTTGTTTGGGGTGTCTAGGTCATCCGCCACAGAACTTGCGCAATTGCTTTCATACCGCTTAACCTGTAGCGCGATGCACCTTCAGCCCGAGATCCTTTTTCAAAGCCGAACCACTTTAAGACCTGGCTTGGGCTTGAAGCCTTGTTACTGCAACCTCGGACGGAGAGATCCTGATCCCAGAAATCCTTTGCCTCAAGCCTTCAACATCAAAACCCTGAAGCCACACCCGAAAAAATGGCGAAGTCACAAAACAACTTACTAGTGCTGGTGAGTGGGGATCAATATAGGGACCATAGTGGTCTGAAAAAATGTGCGGGGGGCGCATTCGGGGAGTCGAAATGAGTCTATATCAGGTCCCCCTTTTTAGGGGAACTATCACATAGGGGATTGTGCAGGCATCTGCTCCCCCCACTCCCGCTGGAAGTAGCAGAATGACAAGGGTGTTGCCTCTCAAAACCATCACTGACTGACTGGCAGGACCCTCGCATCAAGTACTGGTAATCTTGGGATAATGGCAAAGAAAATGGAAACTACTATTTGGGGTTTAGGGCTTAGGGTTTGGGATGTATAAGGGTGATTTTGGGGTAATATAGGGATAATGGAAAATGGATACTACTCTATTCTAATAGGTTTTTCTTGGGGCCAGCCTAAATCGCAAGATGATGTCCCTCTAGATTTCTTGAAGAATTATGGCATGGAATACCTTAAGCAGATCTGAACATAATATTGCTGGTCACTCTTCTGGCTTCTACAGTAAGTACCTGTTTAACCACTTTGGAATCACTGGTTCCTATGACATGTTGAACTCATTTTCATTTGATTATCCATCATTGGGCCTGATATCCTCTGTATAGCTAACCCTCGCACAGTAGCCGCCCTCCTGGGTCTGTCCTACTACCCCTGCACTATCGGGTTTCCACAAAGCCGATGCCAGCTTTGATGCCACTTCCTAAAACCCTGAACTCCTAAAAACCTAAACCCCAAAAAACCTAAACTCCCTAAACCCTAAAGGCCCGAAGTCCCTAAACCCTAGACTCGACCCTTTTTTTTACTAAACACCCGCATTTCCCATCTGGCCCAGCTGCGGTTTTTTACATTTGCGTAGCCCTCGAGGATGAGCTGTATCTCCCCGATGATCCGAAGGGGTATCTCCTGACAGTTAAGGTTTAAGGATTTGGGGGTTTAGGGTCTGGGGGTTTACGGGTTTAGGGGTTTTAGGGTTCAAGGTTCAGGGTTTTAGGATGATCCGAAGGGGTATCTCCTGACGTTGTTTTGGGTGTTAGTAGGAGTTATTCTAGGGGTATGAGGTTATATAAGGTTTATGTAGGGATACAGAGATTGTTCTGGGTTTGGGGTTTAAGGTGTTAGGGTTGCAGGGTTTTAGGGTTTAGGGTTTGGGAGTTTAGGGTTTATGGGTTTTAGGGTTTAGGGTTTAGGGATTCA